CTGCCGCTCCGCCGCTGCTGGTTGCTGCCAACGTCGAGGCCGCGGCCGCGGCCGCATGCGCCGTCACCGCAGCCGCAGGCGCCGCCGCCGCCGCTGCCCTTGCGCGCCGCCAGGCGTTGCCGCTAGGGACCATCCCAGTCGCCGCCGCCGCCGCCGGGGCGCCACCCACACCGCAAGGGCCTCAATCACTCGCCCACCGCCTCCGCAACGCCGCGCTGGCGCCAGCAGCCCAGCTACTAAGACCCCGACCGCCGTGCCCCCAGGCGCCCGCCACGCCTGGCCGCCGCCCGCAGCGCGCCTAGGACGCGCGGGCGCCCGCCGCGCTGCCCGCGGGCCTGCGCTCTCGGCCCGCCGCCCATGCCAGATGAACGCCCACCCCTCGCGCCCACGTTGAGTGCCGGGGCCGCAAGCATGCCTTCGCGCCCTGCTGCGCCTGGGCCACACACGCGCGCGCACACACACACACACACGCGCGCGCGCACACACACACAACACACACACACACACAACACACACACACACACAACACACACACAACACACACACGCGCGCGGCAATCACACTGCGCCCACCGTGCCGCCGGCAAAGTCGAGGGGCTTGCACTCCGACACCCCCGCCAGCCAGCTGTCTGGCGACCACAGCCAATGGACAGTCACAGGGTGGACAAACGCGGCGATCGCGGCCGTGAACGCCTGCAAAGGGGGCAGGGAGGCAGGGGGGGGGGCAGCCACAAACGCGGCAATCGCACCCGTCAACGCCTGCAAACGCGGCTGCCAAGCGACTTCAGGGCCCCACCCTCTAGGTTAGGTTTGACGAATCAGTGTGTAGGGTTCAAATTCGAGATTCTCCAACTCCTGCGCCGCCCGTCCGTCTTGCCCCCTTCCTCCACGGCTGCAGCGCTCCTCAAAAACAACACAGGCAACACCCCGCCTCCGCAGCCGCCGCCGCGCACCGGGTACACGCCCAGGCGCGTGCGCTCCGCCAGGCAGCCGCTGACGATGGTGCAGGCCGCCACGCAGAACGTCCAGGAGAAGAACCACGGCCGCGAGGACTGGCTCTCGGCCTCGAAAAAGAAGTGTGACGCTCTGCCAGGGGGTGGGGTGGGGTGGGGTGGGTGAGCTGTGCTCATCAGGGTTCAGGGTCCAGGGGAATCGAGGCACGAGGCAGTCGGGGGATGCAGGGCAGGGCGCCTCGCGCCGGCTGGCGGCGGCAGGGGCACGTCCGGACGGCCGCCCGGGGGACGCCGGGGCGCCGCGCCCGCCCGCCGGCGGCGGCTTTTGGGGCGGACGGGTGCTCCGCGGTGAAGTGCGGGCCTAGGGGGGCGGCTCGCCCTGCCGCTGGGGCGAGAAACGCGCCCAGTCAACGTCAGGGGCTGCTGCACGAGCGGCCGCCAGGCGCCCAGACTCCCTCCACATCTGGACTCCGCCCCAGAAGGGCGCGCCTGCCTGCTAGCTGCCCGCATGGCGTGGTGCGGCGCAAAGAGCAGCGCGGCTCCCCCTGCCGGCAGGACGCATTGCGGACCCCGCGTCTCCGCTGGTGGGGGGCGCGTCATGATGACTCACCCGATGACGCCGCCCGCGCTGGCGCCGTAGGCAAAGGCGTAGCCGACGGCCCACCAGCAGATTGCGGCGAGCATGACATCGACGAGGTTTTTAAGAAGGATGTTGCGCACGTTCTTGGCGCGCCCGCTGCCCATCTCGAGCGCTACGAAGCCGACCTGCATGAAGAAAATGAGGAACCTGCGGCGGCGGCGGCCGGCGCGCGATGGGCGGGGGCGCTCGGCAGGGGCGCGGCGCCTGGCGCGACGAGGCGAGGCGGCGGCCGCGGCGAGCAGCGGTGGCACTTGCTGGTGCCCGGCAGGCTGGGCACGTGGTGTCTGGTACGTTGCAGTGCCGAGGCACGCACGCTCACCCACTGAAGACAACTTGGCTCATAAATAGGTGTTCCGCGATATTTGCACTTGAGCCATCCATCACGGCCTGTGCTGCACTCAGAGGCAGAAACGCTGCATACATGATACTTAAAACAATCAAGCAGTTCCCCACGGAGCCCATGCTGCGAGCTCGAGGGGACCGCTGCCTGGCCCAGCTCAGCGGTCCCAGTTGCTAAGAGATTTCAGATGCGATAAGCAGTCATGAAAATTCGGGTCATCAGACAACTGAGTCTGAAGAAGTCTACCGCACGCACGCCACGCACACACTGTGCTCCTGCGCAGGATTGAACACCTGAGAGCGCAACATGCGTGAGATACTTAACGGATTCCATGATTTGCTGCGGTGGTGCAGATTGATGCAGTTGGTTTGGGCTGGGCGTCACTTGACTAACCATCCGACCCACCCATGACACTTGTGCCTTGTGCCCGCAAGCGCCTCGTCTGAACTTTTTACCACAATGGCTTGCTAGAGTTGTAGCCTACACCTTTGACTGCACACCATGTACAAGATCGGGTGTGGCATATCGCCGGAACGGTGCAGGCATCACCTCTGCTTAGACATCTACACCACTACTGCACAATGCCATTGCGCCCGCGCGCCCCGTGGCACTATCCGCCGTTCTCCACTCCCCGCCTCCACCACCGCGCCCACACCTCTTCCGCACCATCCGTGAGGACGCTCATCTTTCAGGCCAGGGTTGCTGCCTGGCGGATTGACTCGAGGACCAACCCTGAGCCCGCAGCAGTCGAGGCCGTCAGCGGCGCCCAAGGTCCAGCGTGGGTTTCAGCTCAGCCTCCAGATTAAACCGTGCTGCCCGTGCACTACTGATGGCTCATCAGGGCTAGCAATTCAACCGGCAGCAGGCGAGGGCGCAGGCCACCGCGGTCCGGACGAGGACGCGTCGCGGTCTTGATCGAACCAAGGCCGAGGCCGTCTCGCCTTGCGCACGTACGAGCCCCTGGGCGCCGCGCCGCGGGGCGCCAGCGGCTTGAAGCACCGGCGCCTCGGTCGCGGCGCACCAGGAAAAGCGCGCCAGCGCGCGCCCATGTGCGCCGGCAGCCGCCCGTCACCAGCTGCTCAGCTCGAGTCGCAACGGCTCACGCGGGCCCCCTCGCCTGCAGGCACCGCGGCACCTTTCGCATTGCTTTCAATGGTCAACAAACGCACATTAGATTCATGCGTCCGTCTCAAGGTCAACTAGCAACAAGGGGGAATTGAAAAGGAAGCTGGGGCAGCCACTCCACCCCCACCACAGAAGAAAGCGTCTGGGCGACGCCTGTCGAGGACGGGGCGCCAGGGCCGCGGCGTCTGTTACGCGTGCATGGAAGTGGACGGCTGGGGCTCACCTAGACCCCAATCTTGTGGGGCACAGTCGCAGCTCCCACCGACGGGTGCAGGTGCGCTGGCGTCACCCGCACGGCCCCGCGACGCGCGACGCGCAGGCGCCCGACCAGAAACGCAGCCGGCGCGGCTGATGAGCGACGCGAGGCCGTCTCTAGGGTTGGGGCTTGGCGGTGATTGCGGCGTTGGCGAGCAAATCGGGGCGGCGGGTGCCAATGGGGCGCTGGCACGTCCCGGGGCGGTGGTTGGTGTGGTGCTCAACCGACCGCACGTGACCAGCGCCGATGATGAGCCCCTCGATCTCTGCGCGGCCGAAACTAGATGGATGTCCACAATTGCACGCCAATTTGAGTGCGCTTCGCCGGGGTACGAGCGATCGCCCTCGCGTGCGTTGCAAGCAGCGCGTGGCGCAGCCATGCGGCCCAAGATACTCACCCACGAAGCGCCTCGGTGCCGTGTCAGGCCCCGCCAGCTTCGCATGGCACTCATAGCCCCCAGCACCGGCACTATCGTTCATTCCATTGTCACTTCTGCACAACGAAAGCACCCACCATGGCCTGACACAGCGCCCGCATCCCGATCTCGCCTCACGGCTCTCCCCCGGCCCAGCGCGATGTCTCAGTCGCCGGTGACATCTCGCAAGCGGGGCAGGGAGAGCGACAGCAGCCCTCTCAGTCGATTGCTCACCCAGCTGAAGCGCCTGCGCGTGCCGTGCATCGACCACGTCCAGGCCAACGCCCTCCTGGGGCCGCTGGTGGCCGACTGCTTGAGGCTCAGCAGCGACTCGAGCCTAGAGACCATTCTGCAGGCGTACGGCTGGCAAGGAGGCGCGTTTACTACGCCCGTGAACCTTTTCGGCCTGTCCACCGCGCTCAGCAAGTACAGATGGGTGCGCGTGCAAGAGCTGGGCAGCGGCTCATATGCGGTCGTCTACAAGGCGAAGAACCGGGAGACGGACGAGATCATCGCCCTCAAAAAGCTTCGATTTGGCTTCGACGACCAGGGGCTCCCCAGCTCCACCCTGCGGGAGATTTCATTGCTTAAGGAGCTCAAGCACGAGAACATTGTCGAGTGAGCGTCGCCCAGGGTAGATAGCGGCGCGCGGTCTGGCACCGCGCCTGCGCGCATGCGCGCATCACCCGTGCCCCGTTTGACCGCCGCTTTCGAACCGCGCCGCCGGCGGGAACGCCCAGCCCCTCGCCTGCCCTCGGCCCCGCCGCCGCAGGCTTAAGGACGTGATCTTCGGGTTTGGCAGCAGCAGCGTGTATGTTGTGCTGGAGTGCTTGGACTGCGACCTGCGGGACCTGCTGGACCGGGACGATGCGGCGGTTGACTTGCGGCAGGTCAAGGTGCGCGCCGCCGTCGTTTGACCAGGCTGCTTCCGGGCAGTTGCATGCGTGTTGGCGACGCGGTGCTCTCTAGCACACGATCTGCTGAATGCGGTTGTGCCGGACGCGGCTGGGGCAGGCTCAGGCTGGCAGCGGCGGGTGCTCCAATGCGGCCGCCAGCCGCAGGCGCCATGTGCGCGCGCGCGCGCCTTCCACCCCACAGAGTGCAGGGT